CATGTTAGAAAGAAGCCGTGAGGTTACAAACGGGAGCTAGGTGGCTTCGATAGGAAGGCTGTCCGTAACTATTGAATCACAATGGTGATTCTTCAAAAGGAGAAATAATAGGTACTTTTATTTCTGCACCGTGTTCAATCTCTTGCCGTATTCAAACTCAAGAATCTACTCTGGGCAAAATGTGAGTTTTGCACAGTCCGTCAACGGGGAGCCAGACGTTGGAGTGAGCTTCTTCAGGGGCACCTCGTGACTGTGAAAGAGTGCTCCTGCCCAGAAAGGCTCTACTTAACTCTCAGGAGACCTGTCCTCCTGCAATGTGTCAAAGACTCTCTCATGGGCACCCAAGTGGGGGGTCATCATCACGTTCAGGCTGCAGCAGGTCCATGAAGGAAGGGTCAGGTAAAGACGCCTCCCTTTCTTCCTCATCTCCCACCAGAACGTCTTTCCAGCCCAACCTGGGACGGTTCTTTGAGGAGTGGGAAACTTCTCTCGTTGTCCTAGTTGCAATTTTAGAACATGCTGTCTCAGTCCCCCCCACCCTTCTTTTGCCTTTTTTCAGACTGAAAATTTGAGGAAATGAGTTGAAGTCCACACATCTTCAAGTGGCCAAGGTTGAGAAACACTGACTTATCCAGTATTACACAATAATACTGTTCTGGCTTACATACAAATTCTACCTAAGGACAGACCTTGGGAACGGAACTCGTTCTTAAACTGGGGACTTCCTGTATCTCCACCCACCCACCCATCCTTGATTCTGAGCTGCCCAGAGTTTGGTTTAAGATGGGCGGCCATATACACGTTTTAAATAAATGAAATAGATCAACCTGTACCCTTCCAACCTTTTGTCTCATTTGGCATGTTTACAGGACCCTCTTTCGAGATGGGATCTCGAGAACTGCTCTCTTGACCTGCTTCGTACGTTCTGCTATACTGGTGGTTTGCTTAACAAATCATCACTGGTGTGGTTCATGCAATATACGGAGCCCGCTCCAAACAAGCTATGTTCTGGCTGACCACCCAACACGAAGCCAGCAGAAGCTTCAGAACTGCATCTTTCTGAATGCATCTCAACTTCTGGGCCGATTCGAAATGAACTTTTTCAAGGCAAGGCGGATCAGGTGGCGAGACAGGAGACGCCGCCTTTTCCAAATCTGAGGGTCACAACAACACGCTCGGTTCTAAACTGCTGTTGTGTATTCAAGGCGTGACACAGCTCAGCAATTCTCCCAAGAACCCTGTGAGGAGGGCTGATTATGTCCCTGCTCAGAAGCTGGGAAGAGTGTGCCATGCTTAATACCGCCTGCATAGGGAAATCTGGATCGATTTCTCATCGATCAAACAGTGTGCAAAAGCTTCTTAGTGCCTCATTAAAATCTCTCAAGAGTCCAAATTCTCTGTAATGCGGGGATTTTATACTCTAGCAAAGACTACTCTTCCAACATATTCTTTGTGTAAAGTTTACTGGGAAACTACATTACAAAGTTCAAGCCAACACAATGTGCAGATCCCCATTTTTTACAACTCCCTGTAATAAACCAACCCCCTCCCCAACAAGATCCCCTTAACACTTTAAGCCCCTGTTTACACCCCCAACTGCAATACCTTAAAAGACAAAAAAAAGAAAAAAAGATTTGCATTCACGCTACGGTGTCGACTAAAACCTCTGTGCCCATCCAAAAACCAGCATCGTATGGAGGGCTGATACAAAAATGCTGATCTTACCCCAGTTAAGATTTCAGCCTCCAGCTTTCACGTTCTTCCCTCTCCTCAACCCACCACACCAGAATGTCCTCCTCTTCTCCCTTCTCAGGTATGACCATAGTTGGCCACCATGCCTACGCTGGCTCAAACCAAGGTCAGTGGTAACCAGGCTTCCTTCTTTCCCAACTGTTTCCAAAATAAACTCCAGATGGGGCTGGGGGAGGAAACAAATGAACTCACTGGCCACAACTGCACTCCTAAGTTTCAGAATGGATGCCTACAGCAACCGTTCTTGCTGGCTCCTGGTTTTCAGGACCCAAAATCTGGACGGGGGGGGGGTAATGGCTTGAAAGAGCAGATTGATCAGCAGCCTGCACCACTGAAGGAAGACTGTGAAGGGCTAGCTGAATCAAAGGTGCGGACAGCCAATTGTTGCCACATACATGCGTGCACATGCCGCACGCCCTGCTCAGTCACATCACGGAGTGGGAAGCCAGCCTGGCGGAGGTCTTTTCATTTAGATTCAAGTTTCAAAGCACATTGCAAAGCATCGGCTGGCAAGAAGGAGAAAGATAAACTTGGCTTCCTAACGATACCACCTTTAAAAGTTGAACCCGCGTCTTTTCTGGATCTGCTCTCCCGTGCAGAAAAAAGGAACGGGGGGCATTCAGACTTCAACTGGATTCTGGAGGCCATCTGGCTGATGGCCTTCTAGAATGAATTTTTTTTTTTTTCAAATGACACAATGGAGAAACGTCTATCCTGAACTTGATTTCCAGCTGAATTCCCTAGAAGGCAGAGTCTGAACGGGAGGTCTGGCAAAACCTTGTTGTGGAAAAACCTTTTGGGCTCCGTCTTAACTCAGTCCAGTCCTGACCTAGATGGATTCTGCCATTACTTGCCTGGCCCAGTCGATGGCTAATCCACGTTCAGACAGAAAGGCAGGGAGATCGTTTTTTCTGATGGGGTCCTCTGCTGACCATTAAACACTAGCTACCCGCCGTTGCTTGCCAGCTGTCGCTGAGATGAACCAGACGGGAGTTATTCGAATGTTCAAGGAGGGAGCAAAAAAAGAAAACAAGAAAAAAAAGAAAAGAAAACCACAAGAACTGTGGGGACACCTGTCCATTGTTTCACCTCAGGCATGGTTTAGAAGAGCGGAATCCATTCTTCAATTTCAGAGTCTTTCTCTTTGACTCTTACCTCGTGAGTTTTCCCTTTCATGTGTCTAAAGACGAGGGCAATGACCTCGGGGAGGAGAGAGATGAAGATCAGGCAGAAGATCGCCAACCAGGCGGAGGCAAAGGAGAGCAGCTGGGCAAAAACGTGGTGCATTCTTTGATGCTTTAAGAAAGGCCTGGGAGGGGCAAGGCCAAAGCGGGAGGGGGGGGAGAGAGAAACAAAAACAGAGACACGTGCATCAGTTCCGCACCTGCACCAAACAGGTTTCCATCAACTTCTGTTGTCCCGACAGTTACGAGTCCATCACGCGAGGAAGGTGGAAATGGAGCCTTAGTTCAAGATTCCAGGCCCTTCTGCTCTTTCCTGGGTTAACTCATCCCATTCTGTAATGGTATGTGGGAAAGACCTTGGGAGACTGGGCCAAGAGATGCTGCCAAGGGAACAGTCAGATAAGAGACGGCATAGCCCTCAGCTGCATAGCGGGTGGGGCAAGAGGCTCAGAAGGGATCCTCCCTAGTTTCTTGGGCTGTAAAGGAGACCGGGGGGAGAACTGTGTTTTCAGACTTGCAAGATTCTGTTAATGTAGCTTTGCAATAAAGTAGAATTAGCTCATCTGGTCGAGTTTCCTGTCTGGTTGGCCTCGCAAGGCTAACACATTCCTCCATCCCACCCACTAAGACAGTCATATCTGAAGCTGTTCTAACTTGGAGGGTGTTTTTGAGAGAGGAAAGAACCACCACCACCTCTGGCCTTTCTTCTTAAGAACCAAAGGTTCTTAAGTAAGGTAGCTTATGCTTATTAAAATAGGGGCACTCATCTGTTTCCAACTGATTTTGGCTTAGGTTAGGACTCTGGAGAGGAGTTTGAGGAAGGGCGCACCTTGGGCTGATTAATTCTTAGCATGCTTACCAAATGATGCCCCCCCAGAAGAATGAGAAAAACACATAGAAAATTAAGGATCCCCAGATGACGAAGTGGTTCATCCACGTCCAGAACCGAGTGTCTAACGCCAACTATTAAAACAAAAACCAAAATCAACTTTCCAACATTGTCTTCACATTGCACTTATTTTTATTTCTTCTAGCCACCACCACCTCCAATCTGGCCCCTTCAAGATGGGTGGGCTGCCTTGTTGTCTAGTTGACCTTGAGGACTTGCATCACGAATGGCATGGCAAGAATTTAACCTTGCCAAGATCTGTAACGCTCGACCCAGATCAGCCCCAGCTTGTAAAATGCCACGGATTAAATAAAAGAAAAAAAAAGAGGAGTTCTAACCTTTAGTGTGACTGTGAAGACCAAGACAGTATAAATCATGGTTCCAAAAGTCCAGTTTCCTGCCATCTGAAAAACAGACTCTTGTTCAGACATTTCTCTGGCCAAAGTTTTGGAAAAAAGATGGAGAGCAATCAGGAATTGTCTGTATTTTATAGGAGCAAAAGAGCACAACAACACTTATTCTTTCCCCAAGATCAATACACCTTGTACAGCAGCAGCCTTGGATTAACCATTACGCAAAATAAGCAGCTTTTTAGGGCACCAAGAGGTGGGGCCCCATAGAATTCTTCCCCCTAGCTATCATGCCCTTCTTTTGCCTTATCATCTTTGGGAGGGTGATTAAAAGTAGTTTTCAATAAACGTTTGTATTTGCACTTTCCCTCTCATAACAGTTTAATTAAAAATGCGTCAAAAAGCGTTGAAAATTGGCATTTTGTTCCTACTGCCCTAGTTATAAGTAAACAGTTTGCTTAGGTTGCTTCGTGATATTTAGGGTTAGATAAATAACATTTTTAAAAAGTTTATTTTCGATATCGTTGTGGGGTCTGGGCTGGAAGAAAACAGATTTTTTAAATCTCTTCTTTCACCTTCAGCACGTATTGAGTCTTAATGTCTTCTCGGTTAAGCAACGGAAGGGAAGGGGCGTCACTGTTGCGCTGCGTTTGGGGCATCCGTTGGCCTTAATCCGGGCCTGTGCAGCACAGCGACAAAACTTGCCATTAAGAAACTCTGCCAGCTGCTGCAGTGTAGACAACAGTACTCTTCAAAGTAAGATGCACCCACAAGGATCACCTGCTAAGAAACCTGGATGGAAGAAAGTACGCTGACTCTTCCTTTACAGGAGCATCAAAGCCGCGGAGGTAATATTCTGGCCTGCGCGTCATTGAGACCGACATAAAAGAAGATCTGCGCTAGTCGGTTTCACAATGGGGACCAGCTTGCTTTGCTGAACTGCAGCATTCATCAAAGCAGATTTTGCACGACACGCTTGTCGTAAAACAAGCCAACCAGGTTATGACTTGGTTTGCGTCACTTCCCGATAATGGGCAAATTCTCCAAACATCTGCTTTAGTCCTAAACAAGCTCAGATGAAGAAGCGTTTACATGGGGATTGCTCTGCTCCCTTTACTTTTTTGCTCTCTTTTCTTTCTTCAACTTGTGCCAAAGGGAAAAGGTTCTTGTGCATTACAAGAAGGAAGGAAGGAAGGAAGGCTACTTATTGCATACAACAAAACAGAAAACGACATAAAAATCTTTTTTAAAAAAACTGTGCATTGTAAAGAAATATGTCAAGCCAGCCTAAAACCCACATGGGATCAAGTAAGAGAGGGGCATGGTGATTAACACTCATGTAACCACGTGGCAGAGTGGATCTCTTTTTTGGAACAGCCCCAATTTCTCACTTGGAAAAACAGGAGTGCAGAAAGTTCACAAAAAGGGTGGGAGGTGCAGAAGAAGCTTTCACCCCTAAGCAGGAAGAATCATCTTAAGAAATAAAATTCTGTAGCAAGGAAGCAGCACGGTCGTGAGCAGACTTAGATGCAAATAAGACCCCTGCAGGCTTTTTAAAGAACCGAGCATTTTAACACGAAAAAATGGATTTGAATGCGGAAATTGCCACCACGCACACACACAAAATTGCTGTTGCAAAGAATTAGGTCTTTCAGGAGCTGTTCTCCTCACCTTTCCGTTGTCCTCTATAGAGGCAGATTGGAAAAGGTAGTAGGCACCGAAAAAAAAGACGCAGCCGTCAAAAAGGCCCAGGAAGGTCCAGTAGATGAAAGGCTTCAACTGGAGCATAGCGTTGTCAGAAACATTCCTATCAAGAAGAACAAAAATGGGTAACCTTGGACGCAGCACATCATAAATGCAAGCCACTCCCTGACCTGGTTTGCACAGGGAGCTAAGCCAGGGATGATCACTGAGAGGGCCAGATGCAGCCCCCAACACCCTCAGATTGTAAGGGGGAAATCCGGCAGCAAATGGCTGAGTATTAACAGCATGATTTCAGACTGTTTTGGGGATGGGAGGGAAATTAAAGGGCAGGGGAGGGGTCATTTGATTTTCAGAAATCTCCTTCTCCTTCCCAAAGCAAGCAACAAATTCAGTGTCATCTCTTTTGGGGAGACCAGAGTAATATGGGGGTATCCTATGACCTCTGGAAATGGGGGGGGCAGCTTGTGGTCCTGACCCCTTCAAACACTGCCCCCTATGCTAAGCCATGTTCTGCTTTGAGTTAGCCAGAAATGCCTGGGTTCCCAGGGCATGCTATGAAATAAACCATGGTTTCCAATTCAATGGTTGGACTCATGCCCCAAGCATGAAGTATGGGCTAGCTCAGCCTTGTTGGTAAGTGACCTGCCCCTGTCAGATTGTGGCGTTGACTCATCATACCTTCCCAAAAGGGTATGTGCGTGTGGGTGTAAAAGCAAAAATGACTGTCAGCCTTCCCAGGTAGACCAGACAGGAAACATGAACAAATGAGGTAATTCTACTTTATTGTAAGGCTACATTAACAGAATCTTGCAAGTCTGAAAGAACAATTCTTCCCCCACATCTCCTATACAGCCCAAGAAACTAGGAAGGGTCCCTTCTGAGCCTCTTGCCCCACCCGCTATGCAGCTGCGGGCTGAGCTGTCTCTTATCTGACCGTTCCCTTGGCAGACTTCATTTGCCCTACTGCGCTGGGACTGGGGGAGAAAAAGCTAAGATATAATCGTAATTGCATTTTAACCACAGTGTCCTAAGAACTAGAGGGCGCAACAGGCTGGGTCACTTTTCAATATAAGCACAATTTTGGGATACTTCTAAAAGACTTCCTGCCCATTCCAAAGCAAGCTGGGTTTGAATACTTTTCCTGCCTGCAACACTGGTTTGCACCCAAAGAGACAAAGCTGCTTTACTTGAGGCTGGGGCCTGGGTTTAGGACTTACGCTGTTTAATACACACCCCAGCAGGGCTTAAAACCTAGTTTGGCGCGTGAAGGGCAAAAGGAAGAAGCATCTTGTACTCACAGATACAACTTGGGGAAAGTCATCAAGATATCAATAGGGACGTGCTGTTCCAGGAGACTGTAGGCCACGATTGGCAGAGAGGTGAAGCAGATGTTGAACATCGTTAGGTAAGCTGCATCGTAGAGGGGCTGGAGCGAAAAAGAGAAGGAACTGAGCAAATGGAGGGAGAAGAGACCATCATTTCCTCCCGTTCTGACATTTTCTGTGATTTTTTTAAGGTTTTGCTCTCACCCAGTTCCCAGATTGTCAAATAATTATATTCCAACATACATGGGGGATACCCAAAAGGAAGAGCTCTTTCACGCAGCTGAGGATGATGCTGGCTAAGCATTGGGTTCTTTCCCTAGCAAACAGTCTTCACAGCTGCACAAACTTATCTGCTGGGATTTTCTTGCCCAACACATCTACTCGTGGTTAATTTAACCAGGGTTGGCTCAATGAAGCTGATTTTCAGGGTCATACAACACTTTGAACCATAAACAAAACCCCACCAGCTAAGTTCACAGCACAAATGCAAAAGACAAAGACAAAGGCCAAATTTTGGGTTCCACAGACTTATGGGGAGGTAGTTTAGGCCGGTATTTCTGAACCCTTAATGCTAATTGTGGGTCTGTCTCTTTTTGGTTTAGCTCAATGGATAAACCCAGTTCCTGTAACAGGATTACCATAAACCATGTTTTACGATTTAGGATTGTATCTGGTTTACTCAGCAGAGTATGATTAGCACAATTCATGTTTCCTGGGATGTGTGGCCATGTCCAGAGTGAGGTGTGAGAAAGCTATAGAGTTGTATCCGACCCATAAACTCTTTTCTTATCACCCACATGCAATGATGAATCAACCCAGTAACCCATTAATCAACCCAGTAACCAGCAAGGCAACATCCTGGCGCGAGGCCCCACTCCGGTTGGCGCATATGTGATTTTTCGCACCACGCCTTTAACCTTTTTGCTGAACAAGCAAGAAGGAAGCAAAGCAGAGCGGGTCTGCGTTTTCCTGCTCCGCTTGCAACGTCCCGAGACCACTGAAAGGAAACCCAGCTCCTTCTCCTTCCAAAGCAGAAAAGTCCGGCTCATTAGCGCAGCTGGGCAAAACACGCTGAACAAGCGGAAGAGGATCCGGTAGAAACCGTGCATATGTCTGCTCATTATTTCCCTCCAAATGGGATTTTCTGGAACAATGGTTCATTTGCAAGCTGCCGCTAATGAATTGGCTCCACTGCGCCTCCCCGAAGGAGGCCAATCAGGCCTGCCGAGGGAGCAGGAGTGGCTCTTTGCTTCGAGCTGCAGGTCTGGGTGAAAAAGGCAGGGAAGCCGAAGCCTTTGAGGACGGCTGCAGAGCACTTCCTCCGACGGAGACAGCTGCTACACAGCTGCTCCTCTCATTCAGGGAACAATCACTCAGACCTGCCGTCGCTCGGGCTTCCCCGCACAACAGGCTCCCCCATTCACACCTGCCCTTTGCAAGAGAGTCGGTTAGGAACAGGAGTGGTTGGGGCCGTACCCTGGTGCTTTGTGACTCTTGTTCCAAAGAATCGCGTTTCCCCGAAGGGAGGAAGGGCAGGGAGGGAGTTCAAGGCAGCTGCAGTTTGCTCTTGGGGAACGAACAAAGAGGAAGACTGAAGGGCGAGCGTCTCTGGGATTGGTAAGAGGAGAGGAACCATTAAAAAAGAGGGGGGGAAATCAAAGTCAAAGGCATTATTTATACAACGCGAGAGAGCTTCTTCTCCCGGTCACCAAAATGGGGAAGAGAGGCAGACGGGCAAAAAATGGACAAGGAGACAATCAAGAGTTTTGTTACCCTAAAGTACCTATATATTGGCGTCTCGTTTGCAAGTAGAGCACTTGCTGGAATTCTTGTGTTGCAGCCTCAGCCTTCTTTCTGATAAATACTCTTCATCATCATCACCATCACCATCGCCTATTCAATTTGCATGCCACCTGATCCTCAACGGCTCCAGGTGGCCCACGACAATCCAAGAAATTACAATAAAATCCATCGAAGATGGCCAGCGCAATGAAGCGAGGGGTCTCGCTCTCCCTCGCCAAAGGCCTGGGTGAAGAGCCAGGTCTTCACGGTTCTTCTGAATGAAAGCAGAAGGGGGGGGCATCCAGATCTTGGGGGGAACCTCTATATAATAACACTATTAACCAGAGCTCTTGGTCTCGTCTGTGGGATTGACTGTTTCCAAACTAAAAGTATTGCTCAGAAGGAGTGGGTGAAAGTGGAAAAGGTGTCGATGCAGCCCAAGGCAGCCCATTTGACCACTGGGTGGGGCATAACAAGAGGAGAAAGACCTCTGACAACAAGAGAAAGAAAGGCACGCTGATTTCTAGCAAAAGGAAGTTGAGAAGGAAGACATCCACAAATATGGCGTAGCTTGAAAGGAGACTAGAGGCATTCTGAGAACCACAGAACCAAAGATGTCAAAATGAATATCAATCCTGACCATCAAGAGGTTGCTTCTGAGCAAGTGTCAAGGATAAGAACTGATGACTTGTTGCTGGTCATTGACGGAATAAATATTACAAAAAAGAACGGATGACCTTGTAGGGTTGGGAACTCCCAAAGGGCTCGGCCGGCACCCCTCACAGAAAACCAAGCACCCCAATTCTGAAACTGCAACATGAAATTGCTCCCAGGCCTGGAAATGTCTGCCTGAAGCTCTGCTGGGGGAGGGGGGGGGTTAAAGCCCCTTTCAACCATGTCAGTAATGACACCCACCCACCTACCCCATGGCAACGTACCTGCTGTGAAAAGCCGCAGAAAAACTGATATAAAAACTGTGGGAAAATGAAGCAAAGGTTCTAAAAGAAATATGGGGGAGGAAGAGAGAGAAAAAAAGCATGTTAATAAGAAAACCAGGTGACTGAAATGTTGTTTCTGCATTTTGGAACTGAGAGTCAGAATCTACTCCATTTAAATATTCTGTCCCAGCCTGAATTCCCCTCCTTTTCTTACCCCCACAGTGCTGCGTTTTCTCCAAGAAAGTGCAGCGGGGAAAATACATGTTTGTTGGAGAAGACGTTATTTTACTCTTGAGAAAATAAACCGCCTCAACCCAAGACGGGGAATAGGTTACCAAGGGGCAAACGGTCCAGAATCACCCAGCAAGTTCATTTGTTCATATGACAATTGATACCCCACTTTATACCCCACTTCCGCCTTAGGGTTCATTGGCGCAAAACACCCAACAAACAAAGCTTTGTACACCCTTTTCCAGAGAGAGGGGTGTACAAAATGGAGAGGCTCAAAATTGGCTCAGCTTTGTTTGTTAGCACCTTTCCATTTTGTACACTCCTCTCTCTGGAAAAGGAGGCCTTCTACATCACAATAAAACCACACCCATCAGCAAGAGTAGTGCCAAAATCTTGTCGTTCGGCCTCCTCTTAGGGGGAAGCCTTTGCTTCTGCAACCAGGTGTCCTCCAGGTGCTCGGCCAGAATTCCCAGCTAACGTCGTTACGGAACAAGGATATTCAAATTTGTATTTTTGTATTACTGCAACACTGTTCTTCTTCCTAAACTGGGAGTACCTACGCTGGCTGGGCATCGCAGAACTTGGTAGTCCCCAACATATCCCCAGGGTGCAAAACTGCAGAGGGCAACTTTAACAGAGTGACAGAAAGGCACGGCTTTGTCCTAGCAAGAGTAACACCCCTCATTGGAGATGCTAGGAAGTTGAATCGAGGCCCTCCGGTGTGCAAAGCCACTGTTCCACCTTTACGCTAGAGAGGTGGCCAAGCGGAGAGTGGCAAGGGGTTAAGGATCCAGGAAGAACAAAAGAACTCCGATGCCAGAGGGAGCCCCGTGGGCAGCAGCGTCCGCGGGTACGTGGGGGTGTGTGTCAAAATTGGCAAGACGGTGGACGGTCCTTAGATTGTTTCCCATTTTTAAATTCTCCCCTTTGTTTGTTATCGTTTATTGGTAGGTTATCGTTTGCATTTTGCTTTTCTTTCTTGTATCTCCATGTACTTTTAGCTTGTAATGTAGTG